GGGGGGGGGGGGCGGGGGGGCCCTGGGATCGGGGGGGGCGGGGGGACCGGGGGCCCCGAGGGGCCGCTGCGGGGGCGGGCCGGCCCTTCCACCGCCTGAGGCGTCGTCCCCGCTGAAAGCACATGGAACAATTTCCCCGAGCAGCTCTAACCCTCCCGGCCCTCTGTTTTGGCTTTGTTTGGTTTTTTTCTCGTTATGTTTTTGTCACAGTTGAATTCCCAGCAGTCCTGTTAAACACTTCAACGGGGGAGATCGAATCTGAATTCCACACATATGTCCAGCCCCAGGAGCATCCCATTCTCTCTGAATTTTGTACAGAACTAACTGGCATAACACAGGTGTAACTGCTATTTAGTATTATTTTACACCGTTATAATCCCGATTTACTATTTTTTAAAATGTGCCTTTAAAGAGCTAGAGAGAAACAGATGTCAAATGAATTTCAGTGCATATTAACCCATAGATACTTCTTCTGTTTTGTAAAGGATCAAGTGGATGAAGGGGTCCCTCTAAACATTTGTTTATCACAGTTTTTGAAATGGATTCAAAAGATACAAAGGGAGAAGAAAATTACATTCAGTTCAGGTATTCCAAGTCATTCTACTTCAGAGGCAAAACTGTGCACCTTTGTAACTTGGACAGGTAAATACAATTTTACTTTGCTTTTTCTGCAGAATAATACACATGAAAACCAAACATTTGGTGGTGCTAGTGAGATTGTGTGTTCACTTCTAGGGAGCCAAAATCCTGTTACTGGGTATTAAAGATGTGCAATATTGGGATAAGACTAAAAATATGAAATCCATCAAATCGTGATGGGTTCACTACAATTTTGTCTTCAGGGTCTGACATCATTATGTTTTTCTGCTGTATAGTGAGCTGCCTCACCATTCTTCATGTGTCTTAAGTGATTCAGTGAGGTCTTTGAGACCTTTACCCATCATGAAGTCATTCCTTACTAACAACAGGCATTCACTTAAGGTCCTTATGTCCCATTGCAGCGACCCTAGTGCTTTTCACGTACAAAGACTTTGTTAGCCTGTGCTAACGAAGCCTGTTTAGCCTACGCTTCCTGTCCAGCAGTATAGGATGCTACTAGTATGTTGATGGTATGTCCCTTTATGTAGATTTTAAGCCATATTTAAGTAGATTTTAGGCCAGTTCTTTACTGATGGATTATTTGTGGGTTTTTTTTTCTGTGCAGACTGGGACCTGGGTGTGTGTTTGCAGTATGAGTGTAAAAGGAAGCAGCTGCGAAAACCCGACATTTTAAATTCCTGGATTGATCTCAAAGCAACATACAGGGTGAGAAGACTGATAGACTGATAGACTAGATTATCTCAAAGGCTAGCTGTATCTGAGGTTACAAGCCAGTATTGTGTATTCCAGTGACTAGAGTAACTCATTTGTTTTCTTTCCACGTTACTATTACTCAATAACAAATTGCATGCCCTAGAACTCCGTGAATTTTAATAGAAATCTTAATGCTAGGAAACAACCCGGTGTTATTGTTGATAAATGAATGATAATCCTAGGAGAATTTTTTGAGCTTGCTTCTTGCTCTGCTTGCTTCCTAACTTCCCTGGTTCTGTGAGGTCTTATTGCTGACTGACATTGCTATGTAGAAAATAGCCATCACCATCTGTTTAGAGGTACTTAAGGTCTAGCATGTGAACTGTACTTGGACCAGAAAGTATATCCTGAACAGCATGAAAAATGCTGAAAAAATTAATTTTTTATTACACAGTCTACCCTGCAAGAGAGTTCTAACTTGGGGGCTAACCGCACCTAGGTGTACCTTCTCTGGTGTAGTCAAGAAAACTTTGAAATAGTGATCCAGGAGGCTACCTTTCCTGACGCTTGGAGCTTAGGCTCTTAACCTAGGTAGCAGAATTAGGTCTTAAAGATAAACAGCATGATTATTCCCCCTTTTTTGTGATCAAATGAGATACTGGGAGTGAGTAGCAATACTCACTTTTTCTCATTTAAAAAGAATTTATACCTATGCCAAATATATTACTGCCTATGCCTTTGCAATATGCAACAGTTTAAACATCTCAAGATATAATTTATAGTTGTATTCTTCAATGCTGCTCTGTTAAGGCCTTCATCAATGTAAGCCATAAAGTGCAAATGAATGACTCCAGAGCTAAGAGAGAATTGATCAGTTTAAGATTGGGAAGGGATTCATGATTCTTTCCATTCCAGTTTGTAACAGGGTAAGTCAGTTACTGCCTTATGCTTATCTATCCCAACTGCAAAATGAAGATACCTGACTTGCGCAATTACCTTGTGAGACTTAGTAATCGTAAGGTGGTATTTCTGAAGTTATTTTCACTTGAGTATGAAGAGGTTTTGAAATGCTTTATGTTAAGCGCCTGTGCGGTGTTTGTTGTTTTGTTTGGTGTTTTTTTTTTGTTTGTTTTTTAGGCCTTCTACAATAGGAAGCCCAAAGGGCTAAATGGTGCTTTGCAGGATTTGGGGATAGCTTTTGTAGGACGAGAACATTCTGGTAAGTATGATCTGATGATCCTCATTTTAATATGTATCTTTTTGTATAAGGCTAAATAGCTACTATTTAGCTTTAGTTAGCTAAACTAAAGCAGCTAGTAACAGCTAGTCATTACTCTAAATAGTTAAAACTATTATTTCCAGGCTATACTCTGTTCTGTCCTACAAAAATACCAAACCAAGAAAGGCTAGATGCTTCAAAGATCAGAGTTTGTAATTTCTAACCTCATGCTTTATTTCTAAAATCTCTCCTAGTGCTATTGAGTGCACGTTCAACAACATCAATCTCTGAATTGCTAGGACCCCCAAAAAAACCCCCAGCACAGTATGAGCTTTTTTACATGATTAATAAAACAGAGCGAGGATTTTAAAAATTGTGGCTATATATCCAGCTCTATGGATTGGTCCCTTCAGAGGTTTCAGCACAAGAAATTTTTTACTACTTCTGCCCTTTTTTGAACTAAGTAACTATGTGTCAGAGTTCTGTGAGTCCCTGTCATCTATGTAAGGCTTACCTAGATGACATTTTTCCTCCAGTAAGAGCTATCCCCAGTAGTAGTTTAAAAAGAAGACATTAATATAACCAT